GCTGGCGCGTCGGGCTGCGCACCGAAGGGTCGCGGGTTCGAGTCCCGGTCAAGAGCTTGTACCTGGGTTTGCAGGTTCCGCCCCAGTTGGGCATGTTCGGGAGGCAACCAAACGGAGTCGCTCTCCCATCAGTGTTTCTCTGTCTCTCCCTCCGCCCATCCCTTCTCCTGTCTCTGAAAATCCATGGGAAACATACCCTCAGGGGAAGATTAGCAAAAAAGTAAATAAAATGGTTACTTTTAAATAAATAAGTGGTGCTGGGCGAGGGGTGCGACGCTGGGCCCCAACCTCACTCTGCTTGCAAAAGTGAACTCGCGGCGGATCCAAGGCCCACGGGCAGGTGCTGAAGCTACAACATGCAGGTGCCGAGCCTCACAACCTTGGTCTATGAGGAGTTACACCAAAAGCCTAAGGAACGAAAGAAGAAATAGGTACAGGGAACAGCATCAGAATTAAAAACGTGTGTGCAAGAGGGGCAGGAGGAAGGGAATAAAGTTAGTTGAAGGAAGTGATTTCACGTTTGTGAGTAAAGGGAAAGTTAACGGGGAAGCGGAAGGGATGATGGGGGGTTGAGGGCATTTGTGTCAGACAGGAGGGTGGCTTCTCCCACTGCAACACTGAGAAGGAGGGACTGAGTAAAAGCTTGGAGTAGGATTCAGGAAGGTGGAGGGGGTTCCATCCCATGGCTTCTATTGGCTGATGAAGGGGAGCACAGCCCACCTGCTGAAAAAGAGGCGGGGGGCCACCAGTCAGGAGAGATGGAGTGATTTGAAATGGTGGGCAAGCAAAAACAGGGAAAGTCCTTGAAGGTATCTGCCCAACCCCATGGTGCACGTGTGCACATACATACACAGATGTACGCATACCACATCACATGTACCCATGCACTCACACATCACACATACATAGGCATGGGTATGGACGGACATCATAAGCATGCATGCACACATGTACCCATGCGTGCACACAACCTCCCCACCTGAAACCCTCTTGTAGCTTCTTCAACCGACTTGCTGGTGATCCACCCCCCTCTTCTTTGCTCTGGGTTGGCACTGGGTGTCACTTCATAAAAAGCACTTCCCAGCCTCCCTTGCAGCTAGACAGAACTGTATGATAAGCCGCTGGCCAATGAGGGAGGGAAGCTGCTGGGGGATATGCTGGGGGAGCTCACTACAGGACATATTCAAGGAGGTTCCCCTTTCTTCTGCCTCACTCCTCCCACCTGGATCACAGACAGCTGGGTGGACGTGACCAGGATGAAGGCCAGGTGCTGAAGAGGGCCAGCTGGACAGAAAAAAGGTCTTCTTCCAGCCCAGGGGACTGCTGTGCTGGGTCCAACTGCCACCTGTTCTTGTCTGTGCCACCTGTCAGGCTTCTTCTACACACAGCCAAGCCCCATCCTGGTGGCTTGAGGCCAAGTCCTGGAAAGAACCCCTGGCTGCACTGCCTGCTGGGCCTCAACCCTGGAGCCACAGGGAGTGCGTCCTGTCTGCACACGCACTAGGTCACCCGTTCCAACACAACACACAGTGCTCCTCTCAGCTCTCAGTGAAAGACACAGAAAGGACCAAGAAAAGGAGTAACTCAGCAAAGTTTGTATTTAATAAGAAAATCATTTCTTTAAAAAAATAGGGTCTTTACAGGCTCAGGTGTACAGAGTTCACGCTGAGCTGAAACAGGTTTGTGGCAGGTTCTCATGAGAAAAACGGAGAACGATGCGGGTCTCAGGGTCCTGAGGTTATAAGACTACGTCTCGGCTCCCGTCTTGGCGAGGGATGCAGCAGACAGCAGCAGTGGCAGCTCCTGGTGCATGTGTCCACAGGCAGCCCCGCCTCAGTCACTGTCTCCGTCCCCTTCACTGCCTTCCTGGGGGCTGGGGACCTGCAGAGCCAGAGCAGAGAAACAGCTGTGGGGGAGCAGGCTGCCCAGATGTGGGTGCTTTTTATGAACGGGGCTGTCCGTGGTGGACCCCGTCACCTTCCAACCTGCCCTTCAGGGAGTGATGCCGGCATTCGTTCTGACTTGGTTGAGGACAAGAGCAGGGTCTTTATAGGGCTCCTCCAAATCCCCAGAGGATGCAATGACTCAGGGGACATAAAACTGGGCAGGTGCCTCAGCAGGGTGTGAAGATGGGAAGTAGTCAGCAGCCTCTGTTAATGGAGGGCATGGCCTGGCCCCAGGTCAAAGCTGCACAGGGGCTCCATCTGGCCTCACAGCACTTGGGAAAATCAATAACCATCAACATTTAAAGAGTGGGTGAGTTCACATAGAATTCTGGAATGCCAGTTTCTCTTGGGAAAATGTGAGCTCTAATACCAGGCTCACCTCCAACGTGGCCACCCCTGGCTGGCACTGAGCTGCAGTAGCTCTAACACATGAACTAGTTTGCCACAATCTCCACCGATCCCTATCACATCCCTGGCCTTAGCTGCCATTTATCACCTGACCTGCCCACCTGCTATTCTGACACCTGCCTGCTCCACCTGTGCACCTACCTGCATGAGCAGGCGTTTACAGCTCCAGGTATGGAAGATGAGTGTTTCCCTGGACACCCAGACCAGGGGAAGATACCCCCAGAACACCAGGTGGGGCGGTCACCCTCTGAATACCCACTGCACTGGCAAGAGAGTGTGTGTGCTAACTGACCAGCACTGCCAGCTCGAGAGGGACGTTCCACATCACCTCCACATCACAGAAAGACACCACCAAGCATGTCCCTCGCCCAGGGTCACTAAGTGTGGAGTGAGCACCAGGGTCGCCAGCCATCCGGTTCAATGCCCCAGTCTGGTTTCTCCCGCTCCTGTGTGACCCTGGGGGAGTGATATACCTCTCTGTGCACCTCAGCTTGTTCATGTGAACAATGGGCATGATGACCCCAGCACATAGTGGGTTAGAAGCTTAGCCACAGACAACAGACATGGACGAGCATTAGCTAAGCTCCTGGAAGGACTTGTGCCAGCCCTATAGCCCCCTTGACCCCTGGCCCCAGCCCCACCTTGGCATTGGGGCTGGCTGCTGCGAGGGCAGTGGCACTGAAGTCATGTGTGGGCAGGGTGCTCAGCCACTGGGCCATAGACCTCTCGTGGCGCTCGGTGCTGATGATCGTGGGGTAGATGTGCTGCTCCTTGAAGGCTGCAGCCTCCGCCTCCTCCCGCGCCCAGTCCAGCGGCTCATGTAGCCCGTCGCAGCCGAAGCGCCGGTTGTATGTCTCGAAGTGCACGCGCTCCAGGACGAGGCCGAGCCCTGGCGCCTTGGGCACGTCCACCTTGGCCTCCCCCCAGCTGCGCTCCAGCACGTCCTCGGGTGCGTAGCCCTTGATGATGGCCACCACCAGGCCCACCATCTTCCGGATCTGGTGCGTCATGAAGCTCTGCCCCTTCACCTTGATGACAGCAAACTCCATGCCGTCCCGCTCGAAAGGCTCCTCGCAGAACATGTCCAGGATGTAGCGCTGGGCGCTGGGCTCCCGGGGCCCCTTCTGCGAGGTGAAGTTGTGGAAGTTGTGGGTGCCCTTGTAGCAGGCCAGCAGCCGGTTCACCCGCTGCAGCGTGTCAGCGCTCAGACGGTACGTCTCATCCTGTGCGTCGTGGTCCTTGTGGGCGAAGGCAAATGTGGGCAGCATGTAAACATAGGTCCTGGCATCGCACCTGTTCTTGGAGTTGAAGCCGCCGGTGACACGTTTTAGGCCTGGGGGGACAAAGACAAAGGCTTTAGACAAGCCGGGGCCCTAGCACCTCAGCCCACATAGGGACAAGTCCTGACACTGAACCCTGTAACCCACACCCAAGGAAAGGCATCCCAATGCCTGTCAGGCCCGGGGCTGGCAAGGGGCCAGGGTCCTGGGCTCTCGCTGCACGTCCTGTGCTGACCCCAGCGTGCGTATCGCAGCTCTGTGCAGGGAGCGGCGGGACCCTGACCTGAGCCCATCATCAGAAGTAGTTACTCTGCAGATACAGCCACAGAGGCAGCCCCGTGTGCAACAGCAAAAAGAAAGAAAGAAACAACCTGAAAAGCCCAGCAAGCCCTGGCCTATGGCTCGGTTAGTTGGAACAGCATCCCTTACGACAAAGGGTTGCGGAGTCAATTCCTGGTCAGAACACAAACCTGGGTTGCGGGTTCAGTCCCCGGTCGGGGCACGTACAGGAGACAACTGATCAATGTTTCTCTCACATTGATGTTTCTTTCACATTGATATTTCTCTCTCTGTCTAGAAATCAGTGACAACATATCCTTGGGTGGAGATTAAAAAAAAAAAGGCCCAGCAATGGGAGTGATCAAATACTTTCTAGTTGGCAGAAAAAGAAGGGGAGCAAAGAAAAGATGGGACAGAGAGAAACAGAGGACGGTCTACAGCAGCCACCCCAATACCACGCTACATGTAAATGGCACATACATGACACTTAAAGGCAGAGAGTCAGCTTGCATTTTTTTAAGAGGCATTAATTGCCCACATTTTAACTTGACCAAACATGGACTCTCGCATCCAGTGTTTGGTTAAAACAAGGCATGTGCGGCATCAAGGTGCTGCAATCGAGGGATGTTCCAAGTCTGTCCTTTCTGAGGGAGGAGGGAATGCTGACTCATAGCCACCCCACCATCTGCTAAGCAACCACTCTGTTGTCTCAACTCCACACCAGAGAAATCTGGAGACTTCGTGCAGCCGGTGCTGCAAGGCTTACCCAGTATCCGAATGTGTGACGGAAGGTGGCTGTTGATCTTTTCTAGAATGTCATCAATCAGCCACACCTTCAGGGATACAACCTGCCCAGCCGCAGACACACCCTGCAAAGGAAGCACGGGGTGTGAGGGGCCAGCTGGGGCCTGCTCTTCGAGCACCACACGAGGTCTCTTGAACAGGAGGTCCATGCAAAGTTACATCTTTTCCTGGAGGAGTTCTGCTTTTAGAAGTGCATCCGAGAGAATAATCGGGCACGAGAACAAGGCTCTACATACCAAGGGGATAAATGCAGCATAACTTATAAAACATTATAATGATGCCCTAGCCAGTTTGGCTCAGTGGTTACAGCGTCAGCCTGAGGACTGAAGGGTCCTGGGTTCAGTTCTGGCCAAGGGCACGTACTTTGGTTGCAGGCTCGATCCCCAGCCCCAGTTAGGGCTCGTTGGAGCACATGCAGGAGGCAACCAGTCAATGTTTTTTTCTCTCTCTCTCTCCCTGCCCCCTTCCACTCTCTGAAAAACAATGGGAAAAAATATCGTGTGAGGATTTAAAAAAAAAGGATGGTGAATACGCCTCAGTGATCTTTTTTTACATTGGTTACACCCTGAAATGAGATGATGTTGGATACACTGAATGAAATAAAATCATTATTATTAAAACCAATTTCACCCGTTTCCTTTTCTTTTGACTGGCTAGTAGAAATTTTATATTACAGTGGGCCACACGATCCTGTGTGTGTAACTGTGCCTGAGACATGATCTACAGCAGACATTGAGGCCACCATGCCACCCACAGAGGCAACAGAGGACAAACCACGGACAGGATGCAGCCCTGCCACCAGAGGGCGCCAGACCCAGAGGGAGCCAGACCCAGCCACCCCTGCATGGACCTGCTCCTGCTCCTCTCAGTGACACAGGCAATAACTCTTTCCATTTAGACTAGTTTTGTCTGTGCATCTGTCATTTGTTACCAAGAGTCCTGACCAACAAACACGCTGAGGCGGATGGGGGACAAGGGCAGCGAGCCAGAGGGGCAGAGCTGCCGCCTACCTTGTCTGTGCGGGCACACCGCTGGAACGACATCTTCCTCATGTCCTCGCCGTGGTTCTCAGGAATACAGCCCGACCGGACCAGGGCAGATACCAGGTCATCTTCAATAGTCTTGAACTGTGAGGACCCAACGTTCCTCTGAGAAAGAGAGACGAAAACATGGTTTTTGCTCAGTCACGACCCACTAGAGAGGGCCCAGACTGCTCTGGGCCGGGGCAGGCGCGGTGTGCCCACACCCACAGCATGGGGACTGCACCTGTGGCCATGGGGAGACCCTGCGGCTCATCCCCCTAGCAGGGGAAGGAGGAAAGCCACCTGAGGGTACCCACTCTCTAGGAATCCCCACCCCGGGCAGCCAGTGACACAGCCAACGGCAGGTATTATCTTTCCTCCACCGGGTCAGCTCTGAAACCAGCACCCTCCTGCTGCTGGACATACCTGTATGCAGCCCCCACCCCAGAAGAACCCCTCCCTCACCACTGTAGGGAAGCAGGATGCTCCCTCAGAGGAACACACCCAGGATACTGCCAGCAGGGGCTGGGCTGGCATCCCTGGCTTTTCCTAAACCCTTTGGTTCATGTACAGCGCGTACAACCTCCTGGGATTAACACAAGTAGGGAAAGACGCCCCCTGCTTCCACACTATCCCTGCTGGTTTGCCCTCACCATAATCCTGGGCTACAGGACCCCACGGCCTCCGTGAGACTACCACCCTGACTGCTCTCAAAGGAAGTCTTTCCATCAGAGGGGACACAAGGCCTGCAGGCAGTTGGCCAAGACTCAGCACAGTGGGGAAGTCCTTCCCAAAGTCTACCTTAGAGCTTTCACACTGTGGTGTAGGTAGGTCCAATCCCTTACTCAGCACAAAATCATAAATGCTCAAGTGACAGGAACAGGTATTAACAAACAGGACACATAGAAGAATCCACCAACGAATGCACAAGTGGAACAACAAATAGATGTTTCTCTCTCTCCAAAAATAAATAAAATTTAAAAACACCAGGATAACAACCCCCCCATCAATTCAGTCTGTCCTTCCGTCCACCCCGGGAGCTACTGTCACTCCCGGCCGGGGCCCAGGTGGTCGGTCTGCTCCTACAAACACCCAGGGCTCCTTCAGACTGAAGCCACGTTTCCCAAACCAACGTCACAGTCTACCAGTAGTCAGCAACTTGGTTTCCTGGGTGCAACCTATGCTTTTTAAAAAAAAATTAAAAAGGATACAAAGTAACTCACTCCTCCTATTCATAGCAGAAGTTATAACTCCTTTCTCTAGGCTTCTGTCCCCTTGGAGCCTCCGACCCAGCAGTGAATCTCTCACTGTGAGTCAGGCTCAGGGACCTGACCAAACAGGGTTGAGCCGGAGGAAGAGAGTCTATGTCCACTGTGGGGGCACCTCCAGATTTCGGAAAAGGGTCGCGTTGGCCGGCGGGGGAGAGGCTTCTAGAAGGGGCCCGCCTGCCCCGACTGTCCCCCGAGCGGACCTCACGAGCACCCACAGCCGGCCCTGGGCTCCCGCGCTGCGCCCTGCGGGCCAGGAGGGCTCCCCG